GGATCGGTGTTGGTGTATAGTTGGTGCCTTCCTAAGGCACGCTGGACAAGTGGAACAAAAAAAAGAGGGCGGCCGCGGCGTGGGAGCGCGCGGGAGGGAGGCCTCGGACGTAGAGAACCTCCGCCGGGAGCCGTGCGAGGGCGGCCTCGGGCACCGAAAAGCGGCGCGCCGGAAGGTGAGCGGCCAGCGCAAGCTGCCGCAGCTGGGGGCAGCGCGCGTCCCCTGCCGCATGAGGCACGCCGCCACGCACCGAGCGCGAGCGCGCGCGCTGCCATCGGGTCCGGGCATCCGGCCCCGAAGAGGGCGCGGCGCGGGGCCTCGGCCCTCGGGTCCCACAGCACCCGTCATCGTCCCCAGACCCCCGACGTCATGATTTTTTCGTGACGCGATCCCCAGAGGTCCGGACCCATTCCCTGGGACCAGTTTTTCATCCTGAGTCGTTTTTTGACGGTCCCGAGGCCCGGTGAGCGCCCCCAGAGGCCGAAAATAGCGAAAAACCTCCCGTCGTGATTTTTTCAAGACCCGAGGGGGTCTGGGTCCACGGCCTCCAGCAGAAGCGTGCTGCGCTGCGCTGCCCAGCGTGCTGCGCTGCGCTGCCCTCCGCAGGGCGTCGCCGGGGACGCGGGTGAGGAGGCGTCCACCGCAGGGCCAACCCGTGCCCGCGGGGGTGCTCCGGGCCCTGGGCGGCGGGGGCGAGGTGCCCGCGTCGGGCAGGGGGCCGGCCTCGCAGAAGAAAGACCCAGCATCAGGTCGGGCATGTCTAAAGGGGCCCCGGGACACACAAATAAATACACACAAATGAGAATATTCCCCATATTTTCCCCTATTTTCTGGATTTTCGTCTTCCCCACCACTTCCCCTATTCTCCCCTAGTTTCTGGGGAATGGACGATTCATTGTATCTGTGTGTGTTTTCCCCTCCGGAATGTCCTCCTGCAGGCGGGCTTGGAGCAACACGTAAGACATAGGCACCAGCAGAATCCCAGGGCCCTCCGTGCCCACGGCGGGCAGGCCGCCCGCGTCGGGCCGGGCGGCGGGCGTCCGCGGAGGCCGCGGCGCGGCGGACGCCGGCGCGCACCCAGCGTCGGGCTGGCCGCACGATCGACGCACGATCGACGCACGACGACGACGACGACGACGACGACGACGACGACGACGACGACGACGACGACGACGACGACGACGACGACGACGACGACGACGACGACGACGACGACGACGACGACGACGACGACGACGACGACGACGACGACGACGACGACGACGACGACTCTCTCTCCCTCTCGCTCGCTGTGGCGGGGAGGCTCGCTGCCCGGGGCCGAAGAGCCCTGGGGCGCGGGGGCCCAGAGCTCCGAGGATGCGGCGAGGGCGGCGGAGCAGGAGTCACTGGGCGGCTCCAGCCGACGAGAGGCTCGAGGAAGGCCTCGTCTGAGAGACCTGGGCCGGCTTGCCGGAAGGTTCTCGAGACATGCCTGGGCCAGCTGCTTTCTGTTAGCGCTAGAGGGGAGGAGAAGGTGCGCAAGGAACTGGGCCAGCCCTCTGGCAAGCTGGCGAGGAGACGCTGGCCAGCTTCTTTGGGAGGAGGTTTCTTAATCAGATGCTCGACTGTCAGGAATCTAAGGTCTGGAAGCCATTGATACTCCAATCGTGGATCGGCCAGGGGTATCACCGCCGCCCTCATCAGACAAGGAGTCCTCCAGGGTATGACGCCACCTGGGCACATCCCTTGACTAACGTCCCCACCGTACGGCTCTGTTCCACCCTGGCGTGGTTCCTCGGGTTCGGCCTGTGAGGTCCGCTGTCGGGACCCGGGACCACCAAAAAGGGATCTGGGCGAAAAACTACCCCAGGAAAAGGGTCGCAAGCCCTGAGACCGCGGACTGAAAAAAAACACCCTGATAGAAGCAAAAGTTCGAGCTGAGAATCGAATACAGAATTGATCTACCCCACACTTGATTTGTTTCGCCGGATAGACGGAAAGAAAGCACGTCGAAGAATGGGTAGATCTACTGAGCATTCTGTGTATGCTTCGTGATGGCCGAGACCTCTATGGCCGCATGCACGCGGGGGGCATGATGGACTCCCGCGAAGACAGCCTCCGAGAAGTGTCGAAAGCTCGTACTGAAAATTGCCCGCGAACCCCCGCGCTCGGCAGCCTGGAGCCACGGGGCAAGCTTCGCGTCGCAAGTAATCCAAATGTCTGGGCATCTGGAGGTGGGTGTCAGAATCTTGCACCCGACGGAGGCCGAAAGAGGCAAAAAACCTTCCCAAACCCAGAACCTTGAACCTGGCCGCCTACTGCTGGCTGCTGGCCGAAACTAATGCTGAGCCATCGCAGAGCCCCCAGCCAACTCCAAGACGGGGTGACAAAACTCGTGGCCCGTTCGACGGGGTTCGGCGGCGACGGCGACACCGACGGCGACGCCGACGGTGACGACAACGGCAACGATGACGCAGAAAACGACGACGACGACGACGACGACGACGACAACGACAACGACGGCGAGGACGACGACTGCGGAGACGGCGACGGTGACGGCGACGGCGGCGACCCGGCGCGCGTCGACCAAGCCGAGGCGGGCACGCCAAGCGCGCCCGGAGGGCGGCGGCACCCCATGGCGGGCGCGCCGGGGCGCGCCCCGGGGGGGCGCCTGAGGGCCCTCCGGCGCCTGCCTGGCGCCCGAGGCCGCCTCGAGCCCAGGCAGCGGGCGTCTCGACAAGATCGAGGCGGCGGTCGTTCGCCGCGTTCGGCCTCCAGAGGTCCTCCTCCTCCTCCTCCTCCTCCTCCTCCTCCTCCTCCTCATCTCCTCCTCCTCCTCCTCCTCCTGCTTCTTCCCTCCTTATAAATATTCTTTTTCTCCTGATTAGTATGTGTATTACCTGTATTACGACGTGTGTGTTTATTCTTCTTATCATTAGTATTAGTATTAATATTGGTATCCTTCTTCTTCTGACAAAATATGTTGTTCTTCATACGAGTAGTACAACGATTTGTAGTAGTCTTATTAGTAGTACTAGAAGTAGCAGCAGCAGCAGCAGTAGCAGTAGCAGTAGCAGTAGTAGTAGTAGCAGCAGCAAGAGGTAGCAGCAGCAGCAGCAGCAGCAGCAGGAGCAGCAGTAGCAGCAGCAGCAGCAGCAGCAGCGGCAGTAGTAGTAGTAGTAGCAGCAGCAGCAGCAGTAGTAGTAGTAGTAGAAGTAGTCGTCGTAGTAGTAGTAGTAGTAGTAGTAGTAGTAGTAGTAGTAGTAGTAGTAGTAGTAGTAGTAGTAGTAGTAGGAGTA